TTATTAGTTTAACTTATAAAAAATTAACAAAACTTTAAAATTTTTGCTTGAAAACTCAAAATTGTCAAGTTACGTGGTGGAGATTCGAACCAACATCAGATATCCCATGACTAATTTTTAAATGCAACTCCACCAATGAACTGGTGGTGATTGTTAGTCATAATTTAACACAAAAATCTATAAAAGCTTTTAAATTTGTAAAATCTTGATTTTATCTAATTTTATTTGATTTTACGATTTTACTACAATTTTATGATTTTACTACAATTTTACAATTTTACTATTTTGAGTTTACAAAATCTCAATTTTAACTCCGATTTTACAAGAATTTCATAGGTGAAATCGTAAAATTGTACAATTTTACAAGTTAAATTGTGATTTTGACAACTATAATGCCAAGTAATTGTCCTGTTGTAGGGTAGATTTGGAGTGTAATGTCACTATGCGGCACTTAACTTGGAATTAACCCCTCAACTGAACCAAGTCAACCTTCCCTCACACTAGGTGTAAACCACACTACCAGAAAGTTGACTATTTCGGTCATAGCATTTTGGTCAAGCAAATCTCTTGATCGAAAAAATGATTAATTCGGACAAACAAAATGATCGAATATAAGATTTGTCCGCAAAAAACGGAAAAACTTATACAATTCAGTCTGATATGATTTCGATCAAGAACTTTGATCGAATTAATTTAGTGCCAAAAACAGATCAGTTAAACTTCTTGACTAAATCATCAAAAAGAATTTATTTAGTCAACTACACTGACCGAATAAAAATGGAAGAAAAATCTCCACTTATTTCAACATTAAATATTAAGGAATAACATAAAATATTATTAATTCGGTCAAGAAAAATGACAGAAAGAAAACTTTGAACTGATGTGACATAAAGCAAGTCACGGTTTTGATCTTGCATGAATTTCGATCAAATTTCTTGACTGAAATAAAAAGTTGCACAGTAACTTGAATAGTGGTGATCAACTATTTTTTTACTGTTTTGGTAAAAAATTTTGACCAAAATAGTGTTATGTAAGTGACGTAACTGGAGTTGGTGGCAATTCAAGCATGCTGGGAGTAGTTCGGTCAATCCTCATGACTGAAACATACATTGCTTTTTGCAAGATAGCTTTTCCCGCATGTTTCGGTTAGACACATTGACCGAAACAAGCATGAAAAATTTGTTTTGCAAGATTCCCCATTTCCTATTGCATTTCAGGTATGTTGGTCCACTAGACTATAAGGTTCACAACACATGAAATACGAAAGTAAGAGCTTTGGAGAAGAAAAGAGTCTATTAGTCCACAAGGTAGTGTTACTAGAGGTCTGCCCCAACCACCTCCTGTAGGTAAAAGCTCTAAAATACTCCCAAAACTTCCACATATGTACAATATATAGCGGACTTCCTAAGTCTCCATTCCTATCCTAACCTATATAATTCTAGAATTATGTACAATGGCCTAGTACCTCTCAGACTCAGGCTTGGCCCAACAAGCCCACCCAGGCCTCTGTTGGCTGGTCAACCCCGCACTCCTGACACAGAATCCTTGACAGCACTGGATTGCACCTAGGTGTCGACACTATAAATCCTTTGTATAATCCTGGTGTTGGCACTTCATCCACTGTCAAGGAACATCTCAAGAACGTTCCAGACCCTTTCCGCGTGCAAACGTGTGGACACCGCAACTTTGTACTGCAATCTTGATATTGACACCTTGGACTCAGGTCCCTAGACTTGCACTTTTGAACAGTAAGTCTTAGATTGCCATTTAAAAATATTAATTTTTTTAAATACATTATGTCAACGTGATGAATATATTTTTAAAATTACTTAAAAAGAATTAGTTTTAAATTGTACAAAAGTTAATCCAAAAACACATTGACTATAATCTAAAAAAAATTATGTTGAACAAAATGAAGTTAATATAACTAATTTGGCACGGTAGACGAAAGCTAACACGGTTTGGCTTTTGTATTGTATCCACTTATGCTGTAGAATTATTACCGTAGAATCTGCAATTCTCCATTCTTTTTGAGTTCCCAAAAAACATACACATTCTTAGCAACAGAATGGACCAAAGAGTTAAAAAAAAAAGTCACTCAGGACATTATCAGTGTATTTTATTTGTAGAATAACATGTGCTAAGACCAAAAATAGAGATTTGGAGACAACAGAATGTCATACCGTTCTATGGTCATAATGCAAGTTCATATGGACCAAACAACATTTTGCATATGGCTGCATATAGAATGGAAATAATTGATCTCATTTCATGAAACTCAAGCAGTGGACTCTGATGTACTTAAATTACTAGTAAGTGCTCTAGTTGCCCAAGTAATAAAGTGATAAATAAAGTATCATTCTCATAGAAATTATGTCTAAGTACTAAAAATAACTAATTATGTAATTATTTGAATAATTAAAAAGGAAGACTTTCTAACTAAAACTAATTAAAAGAAAATAACAATTTAAAATAAAATCACCAAGATATAAGGTACTAAGGTATCTAATTTTATGATAACCAATCAACATAGATTTTAGACTGTTATGCTTTTAGAATGTAAACTCATCGTGCGATGGCAAAGTTTTTTTTATCATATTTGATATATTTTATCAAATTATATCAAACCTATCTTTATTTATTAAATATCCACTATAATTCTATGTGAATTTTAATAGATAAAGATATATTATGTTCTTTAAAATTCCTTAGTTTAAATAGAAAATAAAACTCATTCATTATTAATATTGCACAACTCACGTTATTTCATCTTTGATTTTTATTCGATTCATGGTATATATTATTAAAAATTATTACATAAAATCTCCTTTGAGTCTTAATTATACTTTTCAAATCAATTTTAATGGTGATCAAGCATTAAAAATAATAATATATATACTCTTCATGAAATAGTAATATTAAAAGTATAAAAATAATAAAAATTTATATTAAATGAATAGGACAATGTTGTAGTCTTAGTTGATTAAATTAAGTTATAAGAAAATGATATCCTTCAATTTGCCTTTCTTATCCTCCTCGATCGGTTTCTTCTAAATTAA